GCTGTCCTGGCTGTGCCCCCTCCCAGCTTCTTGTGCACCTCCAGCCTTCTCAGTCGGTAGAGCATGGGAAGCTGAAAAGTCCTTGACTAGTGTAAGCACTGCTCAGCAACAGCTAAAACATCGGTGTGTTATCAACATTGTTCTCATACTAAATCCAAAACGCAGCACTGTACCGGCTACTAGGAAGGAAATTAACTCTATCCCTGCCCAAACCAGGACATTTAGAAATAAATGCTTTACATGTAAAAAATAAAACAGAGGGAGGTTTGGAGGAAAAGAATGTGTCGCCTTTATGAATCCGTAAGTCTTTCCTGTAAGAACTCTTCTCACCAAGGACTATTTACAGTGAATGAAAATTATCCTGGCAGTCCAACTGAGTATTTCCTTTCTGCAAGGTGGTGAGCAAAGAGAGGATGTGGAAGAAAAGCACCGTAAGTGGGAAAGGAGAAGCCAGGAACCACTCTTGCATTCCACCTGCAGCCATCGGTCTGTTCACGTTCGGGGCTCTGTCCAGCGCTCGGCTGTCCCGGCCTCGGAGGAAACGACGACGATTATCACAGTAATGAATGTGCTGGGCCCGTTTGCTGTAATTCTGTCTCGTGTCATTAATACAGTAAACAACTAGATAGGGAGTCCTGTCTAAGGGTAAAAATAAAGGCCGTGCCAAACCCGAACCATATGTAAGTTGCTGTTTGCTTCTCAGCAGCTCACGTTGTAGATAATGTTTTCTTTGTTTTGCCTTTCATTATGTTTGTAAAATCTCCATTTCCACGGCAGGTGGCCACATCCCCCCTGCTGCTCCCCAAAGAGCCCTGCATTGCCCGAGCCCAGCCGGAGCAGCGAGCCCAGCGCTCATTGATACAAGGCAGGGAGGAAAGAAAGCTTTATTTTAAATAGGAGAAATTCCTCCACACCTTGCGCCTCTTTTGCAAATCCAGAATTCAAGGCTTGTCAAGTAGGAGGATGTTGCTCCTGTCCCCGGTGGATTACGGACAGTTAATAAACTGTTCTGGGAACGAGGAGCCGGTGGCGTGCCAAGAGGGCTTGGGGACACCCAAGCACTGTCACACCACCAGAGCTCCAGAGTTGGTGAAACACGGGGTGAGGATACACAAAGGCTATTGCCTGAGGAATTACTCACGGATCCTACTAGGATTACTGTGCTGATTTTATGGTCTTTAAAGCTGACCTTCAAAAGGACAAATTGAGAAGAAGGAGCAGGGTAACGCTCCTTTGGGTTTTTTGAAATGAGAAATGCAGGTCCCGGCTGTTTTTTCTTGGGAGGATGAATAAAGAAGGAGCAGGTTTAACATCAGTAGGGCCAAAGAAGCTGCACGGGGTTATATGACAAGAGCAAATGAGTTTTCCTTTGAGCATTTGGGGTTTTTTTGTCTGATAACCGTAATTTATTTCAAATATTTGTCCTTCCTTCCCACGTAGTATAACAGTGGGAAGGAAAACTTTCACAGCAAAGTTGCAAAGCTCCCAGCTACTAAAAGCTGTTAATAAGTCTGGATCTGTCAAACAAATATACATTAAAAGGGGAAGATAAGAGTTAATTTTTTAAAATTGGATAAAATAAAATACTTCTTTTTTTCCTGAGGAGGAATTCTTTTTGAGCCTTCTACAACTATTATTAAAAAGAAATTCTCTCATTCCTATATCAGTTTAAAGCCTCAACAGCAAGGTACCTATCTCATCCCGTGGACTATTCTTACATTTATGCTTAAGTTTGGATCACTGAACGGGGGGCTCCGCTGTCTCTGATTCAGCTAGACCATGCACTATCGAGTAGCAACACTGAAAATTGCACGCAAAGTAAAAAAACCCTTCAGTGTTGCAATAAGCAAAACTCCAATAGATTTAACAGGATCGTTGCACAGCCAGACACCCACATCATCTCCGAGTTCAGCAGTCAGTACTTCAACTCACTAAAATACATCCCTTTATCTCCCTCTCTGGTACTATGACACAGCGAAGCAAATCCACTGTTTGTTCCTTTCACTCTGTCTTCTCACCAGACATAAGATGTGGAAGGAATTAATTATGGCTAATTAAAAATTAAATCCTCTGTCTTGCCTTTGGTCACTGTATTTCTCTCTCTGACTCAGACTTTGCAGCTCAAGTGCTCTATTGCATTCTGCCTCTGTCACCTTTTATTTGGGAATAATTTGCTTACTTCTCTTCGGCTTCGGCATCAAGCGCTGTCATTTGGTCTTTGCAGTGCCAGCTGCAGAGCTCCAATCCGGCTCCCACCTCTGCTCCCTCTGCTCCGTGCTGCCGCCGCTGCTCACAGCTGACCACCTTAGCTTCAGCACCTCTCCCCAGCGACTCAGTGTCATTCCTTACTTCAAACCCCCCAGCCAGCAAGGGCCTCCCTCTCCTTATGTGCCGAGCTGACTCTCTCCAGCCCAATCACTTGATGGAGCAGCTCTCTGTGAAGCTTTTCAACTGCGGTTCCTCCGAGGACACCACCTCTGCTGCACAACTGACCTTCGTGAAATGCATCGTGAGTGTGAACTCTATTGTCCCTGCCAAACACAGACAATTTTCTGTGGGGAAGAGGAGAAAAGGAGGTGCAAAGGAACCACTCTTCCTTTGAGCAGGTCTCAACACACTGCTGCTGAATAAATAAATGGAGGATTAACCAAGTTATTTTGCAGCAAGTGGAATGTTTGCTAAGTAGATCATAGAATTTCACCATGTCATTCATTTGCCTATGAGTCAGCTCTGGACCAAGAATGCCAAGGTTACCTGGATGTCTGTCCTACAAAAACTGTCACCAGGTTTTGTGATGAGATTTGACGGAGATTGCCGGAGGCAGAGTGCCATGCCAAGACTGTGACCACTGTCCAAACAGGCCAGCTTCAGAACTTCCTAAGCATTTAGAAAGACTAAACTGGACTATTTAAGAAAACAGTCTGTGTTCGTGACGCAGTACTGCTACAGAGGTCTTGCAGAATTTTCTCTGAAGTTTTGCTACAGTCTATGGCAAGAGAAAGTCATCAGCAGACAACAAGAAACCTGCACCTTAATTGCAAGAGCTGTTATAAACCTTTGAATTTTAATATCTTGTTGGAAAAAAGTAGCTGGTTTGATCCTGGAGTTCCATCTGTCCTCTTCTCTGTCAAGACTTCATTAGCATGCAAATGAGATGTCACCCCAGTCACAGCTTCCAAGAAATTTCTTTGTTGAAGTCCACTAAATTAAATTAGTCAGCAGAGACGGAAAGTGAACATTTATGAATACACAGGTATCAAGGATAAAAGTCGTTCTTACTGCTGAAGGCGTATTGTCCAAGCTAAATGCAACACACACTTTTGCACCATGAAGTTTTTGAAATTAGTCTAGATATTTGTGACTGAACTATAGCAGTTGTGTGCTTTATAAAAACGTTATTTCAAAATCATTATACCATCCTCTAGCCTATGGAAATGCACTACTCAAATATTTACTAATGCAGTTAATAGAAATATCATATGGAACTACATCTCTAGCTAGCTGCAATACATCTATCACTATAGCCACTAATAATTAAAGTTACCTGGGTATCCATCTTGAATGCTGTTAAAGTCAGCTGTTAACAATTATTCCAGCTAAACCATTCAAAAGGTGCTTTGAACTTGTTTAAGGTCCTTCGTAACACTGTGCAGCTAGCTAGGAGACTACGTTCTCACCCGAATAGAGTACCATTAATAATTTACTGAGTGAGTCAGGGACTTTGTCCTATGGTACTTGCATACACTTAGTGGCCACTTTTCCAAGATAAGCACTAGAAACTGTATCTTCCTTGAGATTATGTTGCAGGCACCAGTGATCTTTGATGAGTTGGTATAAGCATTATATGTTAATTACGAACTACCGAAATAAGTGAGTGCATCCATCTGCTGTTTTAAAACTGCCCCTGGAGTCAGCCCCATCCAGGACCGTGCCAGTGTTGCAGACCGGGTGGTGGGTGCTCATCTACTTGTTCAGAAACCAGAATGTTAGAGGCTGTAGGAGCTGACTCGAGCTGGAAGCTTTAAGGTTAATAATGTATATTCTCTTGGTTATAGTATCTCTCTTCCCAGGCTGAGGCTAAGACATGCTTAAAAATTAAAAGTGCAGATATCCTACAAAGGAGGAACAGATGCTAAGACTACACATTAATCTTTAATGGGATTTCAACTCACAACTAAATTTTACTAATGTCCCTGCATCGCTGCAACCTCCGCGATCTCTTCACCCCACTGTGCAACGTGCCATCCACTGTGATAGGGCACAGGTGTGGATACAGACTTACCCTAAAGAAAGACTCAAAACAGTGTTATAATGAATGAATACTCAACTCTCACATTCACATATTGTATTCTCCCTTTTTCTTCTACAGGGTCCTGACGTGTTGTAACCAGATCTAAGGAGAGGCAGTCCTACCTCTGCTGGCATCCTCGCTGCACCGTCCTCACACTCAGTCCCACACACATTAGCTGATGAAAAATTAGACCTCGAACTTCAAGTGATTTCTACGGCTGCTTAAATAAAGAGAAAGACAGAGAGAACATTTATTATATTCTTTCAGGTTTATCTAGCAATTCATTCCCCGCTACATATCGTGTGGTGCATCTAAAGTGCATGTGCGTATTTATGTAGGTGTCTATGAACAAAGCAGCAGAGTGCATAGCTATGCAGAACAAAGAGCGATGAGTACTTACATCAGAAAACTGAGCAGCGGGGAAGGTTCAGGCTAACAGTCTCATAGACTAACTTCTGTAGTTTCTGTGTACACTTGCATCATAGGAAATGCTGATAAACACTGCAAAACCACTCAGGTTAGATCTTCAGGCACCTTCCAGGAAAGGGAGAGGAAAATAAAAAAATTAATATAATATGACACAGTATAATACATAGCACAAAAGCATATGAATGTGTATTATTGACTTTAGTGCAGAAACGCTGAGGAAAATTCATTAGTTTATGTAGGGCTAGACCTGAAAGTGGAGTTGAGTGTATCACCGAGTGTTAGAAGAGGTGGAAAACCAAAGCATGCTCACGCTGAGTCAAACTCTTGGAAGTAAGCGCTATATTGATCCATCACAATCACTTTTAGTGCTGACAGAAGCTTTTGTGCCCATCCTCATCCCAAAGTCGCTGCCTTTTTACACAAGCAAGGCAGTGCATTTTCAGTAAACTGGCCTGGACTGTTTGAGGCACTATGGTGCTGTTACCTTGACCACCAACAAAAGCACTGTTACTCTTTCAGACAGTTACAACTTTGAAATTGCCACCAGATAAAATATCAAACGGATCTTTTCATGCCATCCATTCTCAGTAGGGAATGCTGAGGAATTGTTTCGCTCAGAGTAGGAAAAAACAGACGTGGAATGGAAAGACAGAAGAAAATCATATCCTTTGCTGACAAATGCAAAATGACAATTAATTTTGTACTTGGAGTCAAGGTGCTATGATGGGCAGATATGAATGGGGCTCTTCAGTCTTTGCAACTCAGGCTTGAGAATTTAACCCAGAATCCTGCTTTACTTCAGCATCCATGTTGGCAAAAATAAGAGATGAGTACCTGGGTACCTGGCCTAATTACAGAAGGAATATTTTAGTGGTTGGAAGTGGCTTCGTGCCGCAGTACCTTTGTGTAGAGAGATCACCTTTAGCGATTATTTATTTCAGGAGTTCAGATTCCTGC